TGTAATTATTCTTATTTTATTCCAGATATCAGTTGAAGAACTAGAACACAGCATCAGTGTGAAAATAGCTAAAGAAGCTGTGATGAGTATTAACAGCCCAGGAACTCTTTTTAAACAGTCACAAGGTTTCTTGGAAACTAAGGTGTACATTGCAGGATTACCTCGCAAAGTGGGCAATTCTCTTGTAAAACAGGTAACTAAAATAATAAGAGTAGTGTTGATTGATACTGTTCTGTTTGTTCAGTTTTGTATTGTTTACTTAGGAGTCACAGAGGAAGCAAACATGGCATGGAACCCATTTGGAAAATGAAAATCTGATTATTAAAACACTATTTTGAAAATGAAGATGAAATGAATCTTTGCAGTGTGTCTTCAGTAAGGCTTCATTTGTGAAAACACAGCACTTAATGGTCTTATCTTTCAGGATTCTGTAGCCTGTTTCCTAATATAGCTTTAAGATTCCCTAAATCACCACCACTTCTGCTGAGAGAGCATTTCAGAGTGATTCATGTTTCTGGTACTGGCTTTTGCTAGGCTCTGAATAGGTACAGAATTCATTGTGCAGGTAGCACAATGAGCTTTCATTTTTACTAGGCTTTATAATAGCCCAGGCTAGACAAGGCCCATGATTCTCTCAGTCTTCCAACCTCAACAGCTCATGCTGGGGATGTGTACAGTCAAGTTGTTGCAACTGTCTGCCTTGCAGCCCAGGAGCCCCTAAACTAATTAACAATCTAAACAGAGAGGCAAAAAGTAACTGTACACCTTTTAAAAAAAAGTTAAAAATCCATTTTTGCTCTAAAGTGAAGCAGAGAGAGAAAAAATAGGAAGCAATAGAATAACATCCCCTTATCCAATAGAACATAACTCCAGAAATTTCTTTGTACTTTAATACAGGAAAAGATGAAACTTTGGACGAGGAACAGTGCCAGTGATCTTTGTCTTTCAGCTACAGAAAAGCTGCTGTCCTTTTGTTTAGGTCACAACATGAGCTTTAAAAATTGAAGCAATCTATTTTGTAGAGATCACCGGCATCAAAGTGGGAAATGTTAAATCAGAAATACCTTTTGAAGGCTGAGGTATTAAATGCATACCACTTGGGTTTTTTTAGCATCAGTGCTGTGATCTGTAGCATTGGTAAGACTTATTGACTACACAGAAGTAGGTTTATATGTAAAGTGATGCCTTATTCTTAACATTTTTTAATCAACTTTGAATGCAAACACCTAGTACTGTAATTCTTCTACAGATTAATCCTCGGCTAGATGGTTGTATTCGTGCCTGGAACCTGATGAATCAGGGACATTCAGGTGTAAAAGAAGTTATTCAAGAAAAACAAAGCAAACACTGTTTAGTAGCAGTGGGGAGAGGATCCTTCTACCCTGGCACTGGAATGGCAGTATTTCAGATAAACTATAGTAAGTAATTTTCTGTCCCTGTGTGTTTTTTGCTGGACTCGTGATGGACCTGATGAACTGTTGGAAGTAAAAAAAATATCAAGACACACAAGCTAAGCTATGCACCACTGCATCCAGCAATGATTCCCTTAACTTCTGTTAGAAGTTTGCTTGAATGAGAATTCTGATCTTATTGGTGTCATCTGTACAATTTCTAGAGTGCTTTACATTCAGAATCATTTTCTTTATTTGCAAATGATGTCCACTGTTGAGCACATTCATTTTTCCAAAGATCTAATTATGTCCCTGGTTCATCAGTGGGGAAAAAAACCCTGGGGATGTAGAAAAGGATCATAGAGAGTTGTATATGCAATTCTGCTTCTAAATAAACATCCTACCTAGAGGTTTTAGGTGCATCTCTTGCTCCTTCATGAATCCAGAACTTTGTTGCCTAACCTCCTGCCCTAATTTTAAAGTTTGCACTCCAGAATCTCTTTATGCATACCTGAGAGCCCAAATCTCTTGGACATTGTTCCAAACCCTGTTGTCATTGTACTCTTCCCCATCCCAAATGCTCTGCTACTCTTCAGGCCTGCTCTGATCCCCAATTATTTTCATGTTAGAACTTGCTCTTCTTTCCCAGACCTTTTCTTTAAAATCCCCTAGCACACTTCAAAAGATTTCTCCAGCTTTTAATATTCTCTGCTTCTAACCAACTTACATTAGAGTTTCCTGTGCCACTCCAGTTTTCTCAATTTTCCTCACATTCACTCACTAACATCATAATGCTGTGGCTCCTCCTGACCTCTGTGATTGGGGCTGCTGCCACGACTTCATCCCTTCTCTTTCCATTCTCACCTTCCCCACCCCATAAATCCAAGGGACTGACACACCTACTGCTGCCCTTCTATGAACTGTTAAGAGTCCACTGTCTCCCTGCTCATATGGCTTTGTGTAGGAATATAACCTTGACTTCTATTTTAGGATTTTCTGTTTCCTCAGAAGACTTAGAAATCATGTAACTACTAGATTTGACTGCAGGGGCAGGGGAGGGGTGGGCAGGGAGGGGAGAGGGAGTATAGGCATGCAGTGGGGAAGAGGCACTAGAAGAAAGATACAAAAGATGACAAAAACCTCTTTAGATAGTAATGTTTATATTAGCTTCTATGAGAGCATCATATGAAATTACATTTGCACCATCTGCATATTTACTTTATGCACCTGCATCCTTTAAGAGCAGAAATTCTTTGGAATGTAAAAGCCTATAAGAACTGCCAGTCTGCTCAGTGGCAGAAATTAGTAAATTAACTTTTTAGATTTAATTTTGAACCGACCTCTAATGAATATGACATCCGTTATGTTCAAAAAAGTCCAATAAGCACAGAAGATTAGGGAAGATCCAGGATTAAAAGTTAAGTAGGTTTTTTTGTTTGTTTGCTTGTGCTTGCATAGACTTATAGTTCTTTTTGTAAGTTCCAAAGTTCACTGTTTTTTCTGAAGATTAGTACTAATTTTTCCACAGTGGAGAGCAGATTAAATACTAATTTTTAACACCATATTAATTTTTCATTAGCAGATGGATTTACTAATTTCAATTATTCTTTTTAAAACAGATAATCCTGACAGTGCTGAAGACTGGCTAATAAATGTGACTATGACTATTCGCCCATCTACAGACACTGGTGTCATGTTTGCCTTGGTTTCTAACGAAACAGTGCCTCTTGCATTGTCCATAGTGGACTCTAACTCCTCTGACTCACAGGTGACCTTACAATTATCATAGCAACTGACATGCATATAAGTCACACATCTTGGTTTTATCTCACTTAACTTACTACCTCGTTTGTGAAAAATTGAACTAAAAAGAGCCACTCACATACTTGCAGTGGAGCTGGTAGCTTGACTTAATATTTTGTCAAACTTTTGGATCATATATTAATGATTGCTACAGCCATGACTAAGGACTCTTATGTTATCTCCATTCCATCAAGTCTTCTTTAACCTTTCCTTCCCTATGCACAGAGCAGAAATAGAAATATGACAGCAGTAGAATGATGACTGCTGTACGACATCATGTTAGTTTTAATTCATAAACCAATTTTGTTATCTTAGGTTTCCATTTACATCTGTTTACATCAGCTATTCCAGGCTAGAGCATGATTATGCACCATGGCTAATCATACTTTTGCCCAAAATGAGAACCTATGGTGAGCATGTTATTACCTTTGAAACTGTAGTAGTAGTAGTACTCCTTTTACCTCTAACAGGATTTCATCTCAGAACTGTAGCCAAAGATGTTTCACAGTGAACATACTCACTTACAAATTTAAGAATGGCATTCATCATCAAAAGGGATGGTTATACATCAACTTTGGTAACTTTTCCAACTGAAGGTACCAGTTTCTAAAATGTGGCTGTAACATTTCCTTTTCTTCTACTTTCAAACATAAAGTGCACCAGAATTATTATGTGTTAAGAGCTATATGTGCCATTTTTTGTGACCTATCATTCTTCCATTTAGAAAATCATTGTGACTCTTGGAAAAAATTCTGTTGCACATCTGGAATCAAAGAAGTTATGTACACCCAGAAAAGTGCAGGTTGGACTTCTAGTAACCAAACAGCAACTTGAGCTGTCTGTGGATTCACAGACAGACAGAAGCAATTCAGAGCACTTGTCTATCCTGCATCAAGCAATGATGGGAAGTGTTGTCACCTACTTGGGAGGCGTGCCAGGTGAATTCTATTTCTTTTCATTAATTTGATTATTTGTACAAGCCTGATTAGGTTCAGCCCTACCCAAGTCAGAAAAAGCCTACAACTGTAAAAAAGAAAAAAAAAACAACGAAAGGTTTTTTTTTTTCTCCTCCTCAAGTGCTTCTTGTTTCATCCAGTCTTTTCAGCCGTTGAGGGAACCTGCTTTTCAACAGTAGCATTATTTGGCTCTTTAATACATGGGTCTCTAGAGGTTTGAATTTGGAAAATGTCTTGATTTTTGAGTCGGGAAGGAATGAACATTAGCTATTTCTGAAATGCCACCAGCTGGCACAACTTAGGAACTGCATCAAGCATGTAAGAAAACCAGGCATTTTCAAGTAATTTAAGTGTCAGAAGTGCAGAAGAATTCAGGAATATGGTTTCAACAATTAAACTGGGCAATAGATGACTGACAGCCTTCATGAGACAGGGAATGTGTTGAAACAGCAAATATTTTGTTTAAAGCAACCTACAAGTGTCGCCCCAGACTGAAGACATGTACAAGGATTATTGTGTACAAGAAGTGTACACATACTTATCTACATAGTGTTTTGACTTCTGGGTGAATCCTGAAGAAAAATGGCATTGCCCTAAATCAGAAATTTTTCGGGCCTAAGACACTCAAACTTGAAAATTGCTAGAGGAAAGATGCCATGTTTACAATGTTAGTACTGGTAGAGCTTTTCTGTATCCTCTATTATTTCATGGATAATGAGGCACAGTTCCTAAGGAAATTCTAAGAGTTTGACCAAATATCCATTCTACACGTAGGCTGCAGTATCATAGTCTGTATCTGGGGTAGTGCTATCTTTATCTTCAGTACGTTTCTTCTGCAGGAGACAAGGGTGTACAGGAGTAGAAAGAGGAAAGGAAGTTATCCATTAGGCATGATCTCTTTAGGCTTTTCTTCCAAGGTAGTGTGCACAGGGGAAGCTGGAATTATGGTTCCACACTCTAGACTTTCACATCAGAATAGAAAAAAGATTTTTGGGGCAGCACTGCAGGTACCACAGACTTGTCTGCAAGAAGTGGCTGCCTCAGAATCCAGGCCTGTGGGTTGGAATTCACTTGTTCTTTACAAGTCTTCATACACTGGTATTCCAAGAATGTAATGAGATTAAGGCACCAAATATGACAATTTCTCCTTGAACTTTGTTTTTGAGTGTATATGCAGTATCTTGGAAACCAGATTACCAGGTGAGTTCAATTCACAATCAATGTGTAGAATAAGGATTCACTAATGATGCAGTACTACCACATACCCCAGTAGACAAGTGTCAGTTTTTGGTTTTTAGAACCTGCTTGCTTTTAAAGGAGAGGTGAAGTCAGTACTTGCTTTAGTAGAGATGAGTCAGCAGGTTAACTGAGCCATAGTAATTGAGATTCCTGTAATTTCTTAGACCTCTTCATCTTTGTGATGCTTAAATGGTTCTTCCTAGTACATTGCCAGCCACATAGCAATTGGCATCTCAAGAGTTAAGACTGTTGCTTTAGTCAGGCATCCCAAACAGAGAAGAAGCAAGTATTAGTTACTTGCTGCTCCTTAAAAGTAAGGTTGATCTCTCAGTTTTAAAAAGTATCTTCAACATGCAAATTAACAAAAAACAACCACCAAACCTCTGTATTCATAAACAGTTTTTTCTTAAAGGTCTCAAAAAATAACCCCAAAACCCCTACACTGTCCAAAGGAGGCTCTTCCACAACAACCTTTGTTACCAAGGAGAGAAAAAGCAGTATAGGAAAGCTACTTCAGGTCCATGTGTACAGCCATTTTGGCTACACCAATTCATTCATTCATTCTAATTAACCTCTGAAAAGCCTCTGGGATTATTGAGCAGTATAAAAAAATGTACGAAGGGATCCCTACACTGAGGTACAGTGCACAGAACTGTATGGTTAAAAGGCACCTAACAAAAATGCGCATTTCATGAAGACCATAAGTCACCATTTTTGGTACACTTTTCTCTAGTCTGGCAACAGTGTTGAGAGTCTACTTCTGTTAATTAATTCAGTACAATCAGTACAGGCTAAATTAAACTTTCATGATTCTGTGACAGCAGTGTTATCATCACTGTAGTGAAGAAAGCAGAAGGGAACAATTCTACAGGACTGTTTGTGCAGTGCCCCAGCTTACAGCAAAATAAAAATCACAAGGAAGCAGTATTTCTTGTTCCTCAGATGGTCAAGTCTGTCTTCTGTGAGAGATAGGGTGATTAACATCTGAAAAAAAGAGATGTTGCGTTTGAGATCAGCTCCTAGGCATCCTCATTCTAATTGCTGAAGGTGCTTCGATCATCTCATGTCTACCTTGTAAGAATCTGGTTGTACCCTAAGACCTCAGAGCAATGCCTGCTTGATTTTGTGCTTAACATATTGTTTCCTGGAAGCCTGTCCATGATCTGATGTTTCCATAAGCCCAAAAATACCTAAAGGAGTAGCAGATAAAGTGAGAATTCACTCAGAAGAAGCAATAAGAAAGCAGTAAAATGTGTGAAGTTCCCAGGGGTGCCCTATGTAAGAACTTGCAGATTTGAATCTAGAGTAGCTTTCTGGCAAAAACAAGATGGTTCTTTCTGTGACCTCTAAAACCATAACCATCTGTCTGTAGGTCAGAACAAGAATACTGGACTCCAGGAAACAAACTATTGGTTCCCCATTGTTAGTACAGGAAATGCTACTATGGGAAACAGTCACGTAGTTTGCTTTCTGGATGGGAATAGACTTTTAATGCATATTTCAAATTTTACTGACCTTTCTCAGCTTTGATGACTTTATCTTGATCTTAATGAAAAGGGAGAAGAACTAAAGTTTGTTTCCTGCCAAGTTGTTCTATTCTCCCATGGTTAAATAATGGATGGGGAGTGAAGTATTCCCCAGGTTTTTACTAATCTGAAAAATACCTAAGAATTTGCATGCCTTGGCCTAATAAAGTGAATGTGTTTCTGTGCAGGTGTTCCTCTGGGTGCTACACCAGTAACTGCTTTTTATAATGGCTGCATGGAGGTGAAGGTCAACAACAGACAGCTGGATCTGGATGAAGCCATTTCTAAACACAACGACATCAGATCTCACTCATGCCCACTGATTATGCAGTAGCCGTTCAATTCTTAATTTAACTTTTTTCTTTCAGATATAATTTGTGTAATTAGGCCCATGCCATAATGAAGCCTATATTATTTTATGCAAGATGTGCCAGGGAAATCATCAACAGCATGTTTTTCCTTCTTTTTATATAGAATGGGGGGGGGGGGGAAAATCATCTGTAAAGAGACAATCAAGATTAAAAATCGTTAAAAAGTTATTTTATTCATATCAGTGGTAAATCTTAAAGCTAGATTTATCTTCCATGTTCATACTATGTCCTTTACATATTTAGCTTGGAGAGAAAGTTAGGGAATTTCAGTTTAGAAACAATTTTACTTCTTATTTTTTATATATCAGCACAATTATAAGTTGCAAATTATTTTAATGTATTGGAATCTAACCAAAACCAGTCTCATTAAAATTTTCCAGGCATAACATGCAAAGAAAAATCTCTACAGGTTCTCTAATACATGCCTTTGATAAAGTTAAAAATACCCTGGAATCCATAGCCTAAGCTCTTTGTGAATATGTTTACAAGTTGTATCTATATTGGTAAAGCAGCTTCAAAATGGAAGTGTTTCTGTAAGTAGCTCGATTCTTGAAAATAGCTTTTGTTATACTGTGCCAGCTTTAATTCTTCTGTCTTTAGAACCCAGTTTTAGACCTTAAAAGTAAATTACCTGACCTGATCCAGAACTCCTTTAAAGTGAGTTAAAATACACCCCAGGCAATTTTGGAAAACAGAGGAAGTGGCTTGAAGGAAGGAGCTCTGGTCTTCATCATGGGATATCAAACTGGAATTTGCTAAGTAAAACTGAGAAATTGCAGCAAATATATCTTCCATTTGTGACAAATCTAGCACTCCTCAACATAAGCACAGTCTGATGGTCCATCGTGTTGCCTTTATTTAGGTCAGCCTTGCATTCACAGGGCTCCAGAAGATTTATTTGTGAGCCCTGCTGCAGCTGTCTTTGTGATGTCCTTGAAAGCCCAAATTTTGCTAGTAACATCAGAACATAAAGCCATATTCTGCTCAGCCAACTTTAATAAACCAACAGGTAATTAGAAAAGTATTGCTTTCCTCAGGTGTGCTGATTTCAGGCATTTCTAATATTTCTTTAACATCCTTTGAGTGTTCTTTCCACTTCCAACCTCATTTTCACACAACCAGAAGCCTCCCTGTGCAGCTCACCTAGTGGTTTTGTTAACCCCAAACCAAATAAATAGCGAGAGAATTGCTGTAAGCTATGGATATACACTCTCATCCATCAACCACAGAGACAGTTATCTGCCATTTTCTTGACCTGAGGTTTGCTTTCTTCACTTGAGACATTGAAGTGGAAATGTATATACGGGAGGATGGATTGTGACAATATTCATTTTGAGGATCGCCTTTCTCCAGAGATATTCTGAGTGACATTAGTGAGGTTTCTTTCTTTGTTGAATGCTAACGTTAGTACATGAGTATTGCAGAATCTGAGCCCATCTTTCAACATTATTGCTTTGTCTGAAGTTATTGTTAACTTCACTTCCCACTTGTGTAATGTAATACAGGATTTGCTCCAACTTTCACACCATCCAGTACAGCTTCCAAATCTATCCAGCACCGGGTCACACCTAGCTGCTTATCAGCAAGAAGCTAACACCCAGGGGCTAACTGACAGTGAACTGCTAGATTACTTTTCAAGGATGGCATGTAAAACAAACTTAGATTTCTCCTGACTTCATGGAGGAGAGATCACTGCAGGAAAGTATCCTTCCCTGCTCTTCCACCATCCCAACACACACATTCTTGAAAAAGAAGAAAATAGCCCATGACCATCTGCAATATAGAGCAGCAAGAGGACGGTGAATACCAGAGTCAAGTTGTTTTTTAGGACCTTTTGTATGGGAGCTGCTGTATGTTGTAATCCTTTGAACTGCAGCAAACACCCTGGAGCTATGCATTTTCCTGCTCAACTGCGGAGACTTGAGAGTGTTCTCTTTGTATTGCCGAGCTCAGCTTCAAAATATATAAGCTCAAGCAACCGCTGAGATTCTAAAGGTGTTAGAAGAAAAAGTGAGTGGTGGCTTTCACTTTCCCCTTGAAGCATATAAACAGTAGCACAAACAGGTCTGTGTGCTTTCCTGCTCTGCTCTACGCACTTTGTTCAGCCTTGCAGATACCTGTTACAGCCAAGGCTGCACATCACCTTTGTTTTGCAACCTGTAAACTGCACCACCACCAACTAGAGGAGTGACTTACCACCTACCTATATGCAGCATATGTACCAGCACGCACACATTTTCCAGCTACTCACCGTACACTGGGGGTATAGACTTAGCTTCCAAGACCAGAATACAGTCAGTCATTGCCAGTTACTTCCAGAAAGAATCAAGCTGTTCCCAGTCACTCTCAGGGTGATCCTAGCTGATCCCAGTACAACACACCTCACCACCAGTATGAACCCAGCCAGTACCAGAGTGATTCCAGATACTCCCCAGGGGATTCCACTTGTCACCAGCTTAGGCCCAGTTACTCATGGTCACTTCCAGGCCATTCACCAGGATTTCATTTGCTCACAGCCACTCCCAGTCACACGCAGACTGTGCCAAGGAGCTGCCAGCATGCTCCCAGTCACTCACAGTCGCTCCAAGATGCTTCCAGCAACACCCCTCTTGCTCACAGCCACTCCCAGTCACCCTGTGTGTTCCTAGTTGCTCCCACTATGAGCCCCGTCACAACCAGAACGCTCCCAGTCGCCCAATTGCTTCCAGCAAGATCCCATTTTCTCACAGTCACTCCCAGTCACCCTCAGTGTGCTCCCAGAATGATCCTAATAGGATCCCAGTCACCTCCAACAGGACCCCAGTAGCTTCCAGTATAGACCAGGTGCTCCCAGCATGTTCCTAGTCATCCCCAGAAGGAACCCAGTCACTCTCAGTGTGGTCCAGTTGCCCCCAGCATGGCTCCAGTTGCTCCCAGGATATCCCTCTAACTCATTTTTCCCTAGCATGGTCTTCGTAACTCCCAGCATGATCCCAGTCGCTTTCAGTCACACCTGGTATGATACCAGTCACTCAGACGAGGATCCCAGTAGTCCCCAGCATGGTCCGAATTGCTCGCAGTTGCTCCCAGGATGATCCCAGTCACCGTCTGGATGATTTCAGTCACTCCCAGTCACTCCCAGTTGGAACCCAGGTACTTCTATTATAGGCTCAGTTGCTTCCAGTCACACCCAGAATGCTCTCAGTTGCCTCCAGCATGATCCCAGTTGGATGTAGGCACTCCCAGTCACTCTCAGTGAGGTCACAGTTGCTCCCGGGATGATCCCAGTCACCTCCAGGAGGACCCTGCTTGCTCTCTGTATATCCCAGTTGCCCCCTGCCTGCTCCTAGTCTCTTCCAGTATGACCCTGTGTGGGCCCAGTTGCCCCAGCACGGCCCCAGTATGATCCCAGTCACCCCCAACATGATGCTAGTCGCTCCCAATATGATGCCAGTTGCCCCTAGCGTTGTCCCGCTCTGATCCCAGTCAGTATAAGACCCTGTGTGCTCACAGTCTTCCCCAGCATGGCCCCAGTCACTCCCAGTTTGCCACAGCGTGGTTCCTGTTTCCCCAGCAGGGTTCCAGTATGATCTCCGTGTGTACCCAGGTGGCTCCCAGCATGGTCCTGGGGTCACTCACTCACCCCCGTTTTGATCCCATTAGGCCGTCTGGGATTATACTTGGATCATACTGGGAATGACTAGGAGCATGCAGGGGGCAACTGGGGTATACTGAGTGCAAGCAGGCTCCTGCTGGAGGTGACTGGGATCATACTGGGAGGAACTGTGACCTCACTGAGAGTGACTGGGAGTGTCTGCATCCAACTGGGAATCATGCTGGAAGCAACTGGGCATGACTGGGAGCATTCTGGGTGTAACTGAGCTCATAGTGGGAGCAACTAGGAACACACTGAAGGTGACTGGGAGTGGCTGTGAGCAAGAGGGATGCTGCTGGAAGCATCTTGGAGCAACTGTGGGTGACTAGGAACATGCTGGCAGCTCCTCGGCACAGTCTGTGTGTGACTGGGAGTGGCTATGAGCAAATGAAATCCTGGTGAATGAACTGGAAGTGACCATGAGTAACTGGGCCTAAGTTGGTGGCAAGTGGAATCCTCCAGGGGAGTATCTGGAATCATTATGGTATTGACTAGGTTCATACTGGTGGTGAGGGGTGTTGTACTGGGAGCAGCTAGGCCCACCCTAAGAATGACTGGGAACAGCTCAATTCTTTCTGGAAGTAACTGGCAGTGACTGGCTGTATTCTGGGGTCACTGGTTGCTACTGGTCTTGGAAGCTAAGTCTATAACCCCAGCAGATGGTGAGTAGCTGAAAAGTGGCTAGGCCAAGGGGTAATCCAGCTACTGTTTTTGTCCCATTTTCCTGTGCCAATGGGGTATTAAAGTCTGTGAGAGTTAATGTGCAACTAGGTACTTCTAGGTGGGAAGGATTGCTCAGAGCACCATTGTCTGTGTGCAGTTTACAGGCTGCCATGGGAAGGTGAATGCCAACTGAGATCAATGATATCAGAGCATCCGGGGCCCAGTCCTAGAGCTGGATGGATTGGCCCCTTCTGGATGTTACTGGGACCGACTGGATTCATAGCTGGAGGGGGCTCTGTATAGTCGAAAGGCTGTGAGGAGAAGGAGCAATGCAGAAACTGTCTCTGTCCTGCAGTTCTTTCTGTGTGAGAGGTAGACAAACACTTTGGATTCTGCAAGACTGAAACTTTCTCTTCTGAGTGTATACACACTTTCAGTATAGCCTGAAATCTGTGTCTAAAGGAGGAGGAAATTGCTTGTCACTGTGGTTTGTCTGCAGGATACAGGCTCAAATGGGAGGTGAGAGTCAGCACCAGCTTGTTTTTACCAGCCCTTTTGTATGGGAGCTGCTGCTGGAGGGTTTAATTTGTGAAGCAAGGGTGAAAAAGTGTGCTGGTTATAATAGCTGTGAAGGAAAGTGCATACCCACAGTGGGTGGCAACTAGC